GTTTCAGGTTTTTTTTTTCTTACGTCAAGAAAATTTAATCGTGCCCTTTCCTCAGTTTTTATCGTGTTACAAAAAACAAGCTGAGGCAAGTATTTTCTCATGTTGCCCCAAACTCCAAACGCCACAAAATTAAAATAGTTAAACGAAAGATATGAGAACAACATTATCTATGGTCAATTTTATATTATATCAACAATGTCTATATATATACATTTTTTTATTATTATCTTTTTTAAACTGATATATTTTATGTTTATTCTATTTCGAATGTTTCTACAATAGTTAAAGTACTTTTACTAAATTAGATGCGACGTATCAATCGTAGATCACATAAATGATGAAACAAATCAGTTTAACTATAGATTTTGATATTAAGTCTTAACTGACACGCTGTCTTGGCAAGTAACACTGTACGTGAAATAACGTCCTATACAAGTGAGTATTAAATTTTCAGAGAGTGAGTGTGGTTATACAGAAGTAGACCAGCCACAAACTGGAAATTCCATGATGGATCGGCCCCAATAGCTAAAAATGTGGCTGTTGATAGAACTCGGTAATAAACATGCTTAAAATAAATTATCCGGTGAGACCGAGTGATTTCCTAGTGACCAAAAAAAGTACTAGTCTACCCCTGTCTGTTACAGAAATAAATGTTTCTTATGCATTTTACTCCCCAAACACGTATTTCATTACTGTTGTTTATAAGATCCTAGAAAAAATTATAGGCATAATTTCCCTTTTATTCTGATAAATTAAACCCTCATAGTGTTTTGTAATGGATTAGGAGGAGGACGACATTAACGTGATTAGAAAGAAGATCCCATTGATGTGTGTGCTTGTACATAAAACGCATTCCAAAATTAAACGTTAGCTTTTTGACATTTTTAGTAGCTTATATGATCAGTTTAATATTATCATTAAATAGTTACTAATTATATTATTTATTATTATTAACTAATTAGTAATTAGACTTTGATGATCTTATAGTCTACTATGGTTGAAGTCTGATTGCCACAACCTTACCGTATTTAAGTATTATCTGTCAAAGCCACAATCAAGCTTACCTCGTTGATATCTCATAAAAGCCCAGAAAGAAGTTAATTATTAGTATCAACGATTCTAGTTAAAACGATTTAACCAATCAAATTATTGACACTAACACTTAGGCAATAACTATTTCATTGATATTCTTGTTTTGGTATTCCGTGGAAATTCTCTTAAATCTAAGTTTTTAGAAGCATACAATAATTTGAAATCTTCACCTTAGTGAAGAGAGTTTGTTATTGGCCAGATTTAGTCCCCTTTTTCAAAGCGCTCGTTATTCATCACACAGAAGCTGCCATATTTCATTGGATCTGTACTAAAAAGTTAACGGCCAGCCTTGTTTGGTCTTAAAATACTCTCAAAGATAGTTTAGTTTTCGAATTAACTTGATGCATATATAAGAACAGTGATTTAGGTCTGTCTTACTAGCAACCCCAGAAACAAACACGCACATCACAAGTATAATTAAACTTGTGCCACTTAACTGCACTAGGAATTCTTCTATATACATTTTTATGAAGCATCATAAATACACACTAACAAAATGGTTTCTTGTCAATATCACTTCAACTCCACAGCGTATTACGATGTCACTTTACAGAGAAATACAAAATTATTTTTTTTATTCTGTATACATACATACATACATGTATAAATACATATATTTTTCCCACCACATGTGATGTGAAACATTTCTTATTCTCTCTCATCATTTGGGCTCCAAACCTTTTACAACTATCGTCAGTACTTAATACTTGTAAAAATTGCACGAGTTCAGTAGACTTAAGGTCTAAGTAATGTTTAACAATTTTCCTTGTACTTAATAGGAATATGTTTCTTTTAATAAAAGTTTTTATACACTGTCCTGTCAGAAACGTATCCAGACCTCTATTTGAACCTAGTTTGAAACTGGAAAAAATGGCGCTTACCACCTCACAAAACTTCCCTACGAGCTTTACATCAAGTAAAATGATGCCGAGTACTCATGGAAGTGTTGTATGGTTTATGTAAATGAGCACTAACAAAGCCCACACAGATGTCCAAAAGAATTATTTCCGTTACTTTTCAGTACAGTGAACAACTGTTTTGCAGTGTAGACATAGTAGAGTTTTGGCTTTAATGGACTGCTTCTGCCTGTTTCAAGAGTGGGCCTCAGTATAGATGCCTAAACGTCAACCCACTTCAGAAACAGAAAGGTGCAGTCTATTGACTTTGAATGATCTCCTACATAATAAATTGCCCATGTTGTATTTTTCACGAACGGATTTGTCTCTCCTGTCAAACATTCACGTTATTCATTAAGTTTCCTCATCTTGTACACAGTTCAACACCTACATATTATTTTACTAATTAAGGAAGACAGTACACACACTTCTCCTACTTAAAATAAGTTATATCAAAAATAATTCTATAAATTTTGACATCTCATCCAGTATATATATGATTTAATTTCTATTTTCTAAGTTTTTATTATTCTTGTAGCTAAAAAATTGTTTTTTCTACACACAGAAGCACTACTAGTCCTTTCCCATATATCTGTGTGTGATATTATAGCTGTTTTTGACATTTTAGATACTCGGACACAGGCACCTGCGCATGCATGTTCCGAAATAAGAACCTGCGCGCGCATGTACCGAAATGAGCACCTGCGCGCGCATGTACGAAAATACGAACCTGCGCGCGGTAAATCGTATGCTGCAAATAGGTACAAGTAGAAGTTTTCTTCAGAACGCAATAGATTCTGCGATGTTTGTTCAAAGAACTAGATGTACTGGATATTTTACCACACGCGTCACAAAGTCTATAGTTTCTCTCCTGAAGGCAAACAAACCGAGTTGCATATAATAAATAGCACAAGCTAAGATGCTGATTTGTTAACATCAGTTTGTGGAAATTCCAGATTGACACTAGAACGTATTTTTATTCCATTGATACCAAGAACATTTATAAATTTCGAACATTACAAACCATTGAACTTCAGTGGGTTCACATCGGACATTAGTACTTTTACGAAAACATTACCAAACGTCATCGACAGAAAGAATCGGCGTGTGATCAGTGAAGACCACAGAGCTAGCTAGCTCTCCATTAAGTGAACTGTAACTACGTCAACTCGTGAACCCTCGATAAGACATCAAGGAAGTTCCAGACTAGAAATAAGACTTTGTATTGCTTGTAAGTTTGTAAAACTTTTGTATATAAATCAATGTTTGTAATAACTGTTATTGTAAATTGTAATATTGTTTGTATATTAAAACAAATTTGTACAAAACAAAGAAAACTGTGTGATTCAGTCTTGTTGGCAAATATAAATTCGATACATATCGGCATTTATTTAACTACTAAATCTAAATAACAATTTGCCTCAGTTTTAGGCTATTTCAACTTGTAATACGTAAAAAAGGTTATTAACTGGTTAATAATAACTTACTAACTATAAGACATGATATAACACATTTGATCCTAAATCTTTGTTGTTGTTATTATTTATTTAAGTTATTTGTCTGATATTCTAGTGTGCTTTAGCCCTAACGTATTGCTTAAAAATCTGTACAATTCAGAATGACATTGCTTTCATACTTTGGTTAAGTACGATGAATATAATATATGATTGTGCTAACATTCTCGGAAGATGTGTTATAAACTGAGAAGGAAATAAGAGTTTAATGTTCGAATACATACGAAATACAGGTATCTTGACACAGTTTTTGACACTTAACCTAATCAGACTTCTTGAAATTGAAACCATTGCATGTTTTTTAGGAAATTGTCAATAATATAATTATAGCTCATGCACGACGTTACAATGGGGTAAATGGTTTTCTATTAACGGACTTTTATTGGCCAGTTATGGGTAATGTGGTACAAGTAAAAAAGTTATTTGTTTAATTGTTGCATAAAGTTAATATACTTTATTCTCAGTGCTAGAGATGGTGTAGTGGTTAGCGTGTCAGTCTGTAGATTGAAAAGCCTGAGGTTCTTGTAATGCTATCACTGAAAACTGCACTTTCAGTTTTGGGTACATGTACACGCAGTTGCGTAAATAGGTGCGCGCAGGTGCCTATTTACGTACATGCGTAAATTTCGGCACCTGCACGCGCATGTACCGAAATTCGAACCTGCGCGCACATGTACGAAAATACGCACCTGCGCGCGCATGTACCGAAATAGGCACCTGCGCGCACATGTACGAAAATACGCACCTGCGC